TTTGAAGAGAAAATAGTTTTTGAGGCCCGGTTAAATGAGGGTCAGGAATATTTTTCTGAAGCTCTGAAAAGATTTTTGACAACATCAGTAATGAGTGACTGACAAGAATGAAAATGTTTCTAAAGGTTCTAAATATTAGATGACAATAAAGAGAGACAACAGCGAGAGAAAGAAGAGAGAGAGAGAGATTTTTCTTTTCAGAGAGAGACAAAGAGAGAGAGAGGAAGACAAAGAGAGAGAGAGGAAGACAAAGAGAGAGAGAAGGAAGACAAAGAGAGAGAGAGAGGAAGACAAAAGAGAGAGAGAGAGGAAGACAAAAAGAGAGAGAAGACAAAAAGAGAGAAAAAGAGAAAGAGAGAGAGAGGAAGACAAAAAGAGAGAGAGAGAAGACAAAAGAGAGAGAGAGGAAGACAAAAAAGAGAGAGGAAGACAAAAAAGAGAGAGAGAAAGACAAAAAAGAGAGAGAGAGAGAGAAAAGAGAGAAAAAAGAGAGAGAGAGAGAAGACAAAAAGAGAGAGAGAGAGAAGAGGAAGAGAGAGAGAGAGGAAAGACAAAAGAGAGAGAGAGAGAGGAAGACAAAAAGAGAGAGAGAGAGAGGAAGACAAAAAGAGAGAGAGAGAGAGGAAGACAAAAAGAGAGAGAGAGAGAGGAAGACAAAAAGAGAGAGAGAGAGAGGAAGACAAAAAGAGAGAGAGAGAGAAGACAAAAGAGAGAGAGAGAGAGGAAGACAAAAAGAGAGAGAGAGAGGAAGACAAAAAGAGAGAGAGAGAGGAAGACAAAAAGAGAGAGAGAGAGAGGAAGACAAAAAGAGAGAGAGAGAAGACAGAAGAGAAGAGAAAAGAAAAAAAAAGAAAAAAGAGACGAGAGAGACAAAAGTGAGACAAAATTGAGATAAAAAAAGACAAGTGATAAAAATCAAAATTTCAATATGAAGTACATAGCGAGAGATGTGTGTGTGGGGGAAGCAACATTGAAACGGCAATTTTACTTACCAACTAGTTCTTTATTCCTTTGATCTAAGGCAAGATTTCTCAAGGCAGTAGCAGCAGCACAGACCACTTTATCAGACTCGACTCCCAGCAGTTCAACAATTATGGCTAAACCTTTTTCTTTTCTTACAGCAGCACGGATATCAATCCCTGGCTGAAATTCAAGTGGATGGGTAAAAGAAAAATTAATTTTTTTCTTTTCATCAACAAAATATAAATCCAATAATTCACTACATATATAGAAAATTACTGAAAACACTTATTTAAAAAAAAAAAATTCTTAGTGACCCTCAAAAAGAAAAATTTTAAAAATGCAAGTATCTAAAATGATTTTATTTTAGAAGGTAAAAAGTAATTATATAAGATATAATTATATAAGGAGTGCTTGCGTTAATAAAATAGGGCTTGATATATTATATCAGAACTATTAAGTATATATCAATAAATATACATTTTTTTTCTTCACCTGTATGTTTATTTTAATACAAATTTTTAAATAACCACTAATCCCTGTTTATTTTAAATATAAAATATAAATCCCATTTTTTTTTCTTTTAAAATGATAATCCCCATATATGGATTACATCAACATTGTGTTAATCAGGTATTTTCAATAATGTAAGTCAGAAATCAACTTTTAAAGTTTTTCTAAAATATAGTTTATAAAATTGAACTAATATCCAAAAAATGATAAGATGGAAGAGGATGCCTTATAGATAATTGTAATAATAAAAAAACAGAGGTATTAAGTGCAGGGTGCAGTTTCTTACCTGCCAATCACAAGCAGCCAAATTCTGAATGGCGCCAACAGCAGCCTCTAATGTAACTGGATTAGAGCAGTCAGCAAGTAAAGGGAGATAAATGTGAACGATATCCGGATGCCAAAGAATTTCTTGACCTTTTGGTGGGGTCATTCTGTTAGAACTGAAAATCAAATGCAATTTTAAAGAATAAAATGTCAGAACATGAAGATATATTTTGGAAATTTTTTATTTCTCTTCTTTGATACTTGATTAACAGTTGAAGAATGTCAAAAAGGTGAAGATGATAAAAGATGGAAGAAATACTAGTGAAAAATGAATAATAATTGACAAGGCTTCATCTAAGAAATTCAGACAATTTAAAACTATTACCACTTGGTGGAAAAGCAAGAGAAATAAGATGAAAGAAATACTAGTGAAAAATGAATAATAATTGACAAGGCTTCATCTAAGAAATTCAGACAACTTAAGACTATTACTACTTGGTGGAAAAGCAAGAGAAATAAGATGAAAGAAATACTAGTGAAAAATGAATAATAATTGCCAAGGCTTCATCTAAGAAATTCAGACAATTTAAGACTATTACTACTTGGTGGAAAAGCAAGAGAAATAAGATGAAAGAAAAAGAAATACTCTATTTGCTGGTTTATAGGATGAAGTTTTATCCTGAAATATGTTTCTAAAATTTGTGTAACGTACATAAATTCAGTTTACCATCAAGCATAGATAACCTTCCTCTGGGATTAGCATAAACCTATGAAAACCTTAAGCATTGCACAACAAAATTTTGAGACTTAATTTAAAAAACAAAACTGCATTCTTGATGCCAGCAAATACGGTAATAACATATATAGAAAGACATGTTTATGCAACAGTTTCTTGTGCTTTTGTAATCAATCAGAAGGATTAAAAAGTGCACCCTGGGAACTTCTGCACAATTATATGAAGGGATCCTGAAAAGTTATCAGCATGACCAGATTCCCAAAATCCAAAGGGCTAACCTCCAGAATTTTATTTGTTGAAAAAGAATCTTTCTATATCCACTCAAAGTGAGAGGTCTAACCAAACTGAAAAATGAAAGAAATTAAAATAAATCTGTATTATCTCCCTTTGATTTGCTCCCCAAAATGTCTGCCACTATTATTACTTCTATAGTGTTCAAATTTCTTTGATGAGACATGGTCATTATTTACATTATTCGGACTATTGTCCTCATCTTTGTCACCATATTTATTACAACGTTTCAGCTGTTGTCCCTCCGGCCTTCTTCAGGTGGTTGGAATGTTGAAGTGAACCCTTTATTTTGCTCACTGGGTAGACTGTTCTAGTTCCATGTGCCATGTTTAATTTTAATTTTTAATTTCCCTCTGAAAGTTATCCACTGCCTTAACCGGGTATTGAACTCACACTCTTTGGGTCCTGTTACTGGATCTAACCAATGCCTTTATCCACTGTGCCATGTAGTTTGAATAATGTAAATAGTGTACATAATACCTCATTTCAGAAATATATACAGATACTGAGACATGGTCAGTTGCTCATTTTTTATTTCTTTTATCTTATTTCTCTTACACTTACACCTTGTACTAATAATATCAAGTTGTCTGGATTTCTTAGATAAAGCATTGTTAATTATTATTCATTTTTGACTACTAATTTTTTTTTTTTTTTTACTTTATTTTTCTTGCCTTTACAACCAAGTAGTAATTGTCTTAAGTTGTAAAATTTCTTTAATAAAGCCTTTCCCTTTATTAATTTTTAACATCTTATTTCATCTTAATCCTCTTGTTGACAATTGCATATCCCAGATTGACATTCTTACTCATGATCACAGAATGACGTTCTGGGTGATGCAATGGAAAGAAACAGAAACCTGAAATCAGTCAGTCAGTGATGTGTCATGTGTGATACATGCATAGATGATTATGTATCTTTCAATACATGACTGATGAGGCAGATTTTTTTCCCCACAGTAGGTTTCCAATTCTTTCTGTGGTAGACCAGTTTCCATCCAAGGCTATAGAACCCAGTCTGTTCTGCTATTTACCCATAGATGGGGGGAGAAGAGGAGGATTCATACCTGGTTAGTAAACATTTAACATACTTCATGTTATGAAATGGACAAAGTCCGACAATTATTTTAAGACATTTTTATGTTTATACATTCTTTTTTATAGATACAAATATTTAAGTAAATGATCTGTTTATAATAAACAACATTTACCAGACATTTAGGCTGGTAAATTTTGTTAAAACTGTTTATTATAAACAGAGCATTTACTTAAATATTTGTATCTATAAAAAAGGATGTATAAACATAAAAAATGTCTTAAAATACTTCATGTTATATAATCCCAGTTTGCTTCTTAATATATTTAAATTCTAATGAGATGTTAGTTTGCACCACTGTTTAAGACTACTCAGCTTTAATGACGGGAGAGAATGAATGAATGCAATCCTACGTTGGTCTTCAAAGAATCTGGCTGTGAGCCAAAATTATGAGCTAAACCTCTACACCATTAAGTTCCTTCTTTGATTGAAGGCGGGGTAATCTTTAAGGCAGTCTTAACCGTTTTTAGAGAAGTTTTATTTTTTTTTCATAAGCGTTTCACCCCAAGCAAGGCAGGAAGCCACTAGGATGCAAGGAGTTACAGAAGATTTGGAGCAAGATCAGATAGGAGTGATAGAGGAAAGGATGAGGAGAAGGATAGTGGATAGATCAAGGCAACTGGAGATGTCGATTGACATTACATTTGAATAGTTGGATATTATAGCTCTCAGGGAAACTGGAATAGGGAAGGGAGTTCCACAGGCGAGAGGTGCAAGACATGAAGCTATTGGAGTAGAAGAGACGGCTACATTTAGTAGTTTCGACAGTGAAAGGGTGAGAGCAGGATGCAAGCCTCGTAGGGCGCTTGAATTCATGAAGTCTGGGAACCAGCAAATGCAGCTCCTTGGAGCAATTGCCATGAAAGTATTTGTAAAAAAGGCAGAGAGAGGTGACAGTGCATCTGTGAGAGAGCGACTTCAGACGAGATGCCAGAACAGGGCCAATTATATTGCATATCCGCCTCTGGAGCTTATCAAGTTATTAAAAAACAGTTTTATTTTAAAACCAGTTATAGTATATTTCAGTTTTTTTTTTTTGCTTAGAATGAATGTTACACCCTTATAACTTACTTCATAAATAATAGACTATTCTGTTTTGATCTCAAAGAAAAACAGAAACACTGTTTGGTTTCAATAAGAGAAGAAAGAAAGGAAAAACAGAGGAGGCAATAAGACATTGTTATGTTTTTAACATCTGCATTGGATTCATTTTTAATCCTTTCATTTGTCCCCTCTTCTTTAATTACTGGATTGCATTCATACTTATGACTTATTGAAATATTTAGTCCAAGTTGTTAAGCTCAAATATTTATTAATGCCAGAAGGAAATTTCTGTCTAGATTTCCGAGACGAGGTATTGTAATTATTTACATTGTTCTCCTCATTTTTATTGCTATGTTCACAATGTTTAGGCTGATGTACACTGTGGTCTTCTTCAGGTGATTGGAATTTTAAACTGAACCCTTTATTTTGTCCACCAGGATAGATTGTACTACATCCACATGCCATGCCTCTTCAGGATGTCTCAGTTATCTCCATGTTTTGTTCAGCCAGCTATTGAACTCACAACTCTTTGGGTCAAGTCAATGGAACCAACCAACACTTTAATCTTGTCCTTGAGGACATCAATGTATGAGTTTTTGGGACTTAAAAAAATTAATGTCTCAGTAACCATTTCTTTTTTTTTTTCAATTTTGTTATATTGCTTTTCTCTAGCACTTCTTATTACTGGTTCCCATATTGCATTCATTCCTATGCTTAGATTTTTATGGCATAGCATATGTGCTGATTCTTTAAGTTTTTGTATTTTCCAGTGATGTTTTCTCTTCATTATTTCAACCTCATCACACAGGGGGTGGTGATCTCCCTTTTCTCTCCATATGTGGTCAGTTATACCTGATTTTTCTATTTTCCCCTCATGACACAAGGGGAAATATAAATTTCCTCAGGTATTTTGTCATCATGGAACTTACAAGCAGCTTATTAAATCATACAGTTAAGAATTAAGAGTCATCAGAAAATTAAAATAGCAAAACTGTGAAAACTTCATGGTTATTTCTGGTTTACTTTCTTCTTATTTAATAATGGTAGGGAGATATGGTTGGAAGAATGTCTAACAGCACAGAAAATGATATTGGTGAGCGATGAACTGAGGAGTTGTGAAAAGTATATCTACCTTTGGTCTGGTCGAGCTTTTAATTCAGATTTCTGTGCATTTTTCTTCCTTGCTGTCCCTCCAAAACAACCTGTGTTTTCCCCTAAAAAGTTCAAACAAGGAAAAAAAAAACAATGACATTGATGATCATGTTAACAATATTGTTAAACTTATGGAAATAATATTAATAAAACAGTGTATGGTAAATAGATAATGGCTTTATAATAAACAGTAACAATATGGAGAAGAAACAAATGCCATCAATTCCTGGTTGTATTGTTATAAAATCATATGAATAATGGAAATGCATTGCTAATGATTTTACTATAGGAATGCATAGAAAATGAGGAAGAAAGGGATTGTCAGTGGTCAGGAATGAAGTCAAGCATTACTGATAGAATAGGGCTATTATATGTATAATGGAAATGCATTGCTAATTATTTTACTATAGGAATGCATTGAAAATGAGGAAGAAAGGGATTGTCAGTGGTCAGGAATGAAGGCAAGTATTACTGATAGAATAGGGCTATTATATGTATAATGGAAATGCATTGCTAATGATTTTACTATAGGAAGGCATTGAAAAGCAAGGTGTGACATATTTTGTAAATTTTTTTTCATTTACATACATTTGAATGCAAGCTCTTAAGCTATAATTGTTTTTATTCATTGCTGGTTGCTTTTGTTGCAGGAGTATTGCTTCAAAGATCCTAACTCCTTTTTTACGATTTCATTTTGCTAGTATTTTTGTATTGTTTGCAATTAGCTGTCTAACATTACTATGATCCTTATGCTCTTTGTTTACATGCTCTTTCATGGCACTCGTGTGCAAATAGGTGGCAAGTGAGTCACTGTGAAAAGTAGAGTTGTGGTGTATGCTATGTAAGATGTTGCGTATTTTTTATTTACGGAGAAACATTCTCTGAGTGGGCACGTAATATTCATCCATGACATTGATCTTATATAAGGGATTGGAAGTTGGGGATATATTATTTTTAATAAATAAGTTGTTAGTTTTTAGTAAATATGAACTAGATGTATTTATTTTTATCAACTGGTTTTATAAATTTTTATATATCTATGTACAATGTTTCATTTTATTGTTGTTTCATCTTTTTTTTAATTGTGTTGCATTTGATTTTGCTAATATACGTTGATAGCATTATTGTCAATATTATGTTTGTTGTAACCTAGGGAAGGTTACTGAATACAATAATCAAATGAAGGTTGGTAATGAACGATAATACTTAGAACAAGAGATTTGCCAGCGGTGCATAGAAGTAGTAGTCAACTGCTAGAAGTGAGTCAAGTGAATTCCACAATGAATCTCCAAATGCAGACCAACATACTGTATTCATTACTATATTTATGGGAATGGAGGCATACCTATTATCGCCCATAGGTATGCTACAACAATGTTCATGACTGGTTTTTATTACTAAAATTGTTGTTGTTGAAATAAAATTTGATTTGCTGGTTGACTATATAATTACGTTTGGTTTGTGGCATATCAACCTCAATGGGTTATTTAATGCTGATAATTGTTTTTTCCTGGTAATGTTTTGTCAAAAACCTATTTCTGGTAATATTTTTCTTTTCAAAAATGTATTGCTGGTAATAATTTTTTTTTCTTTTTTTTCACAAAAAAGTATTGTTGGTAATATTTTTTTTCCTCAAAAATGTATAGCTGGTAATATTTTTTTCAATGATGTATTGCTGGTAATATTTTTTTTCCTCAAAAATTTATTGCCGGTAATAATTTTTTTACAAAGTATTTCTGGTATTAAAACTTATTTTTACACTTTCATAGTGTTTTTTCCCCAGTTTTGGGGTTAACTATTTGGGACCCTAACAGGTACTACCACTCCGGGTCAGGATGGACCTGGGAACACCAGCAATTAAGAGGTGGTTCCATGCTCTTCAAAACCTCCTGATCAGAGGCCTTGCTGTTGGATGTAGTTTATCATCATACCCAGGACAGTATATAATTAGGGTATCTATTATTGATAAGTTTGTTTTATATTATTTAATTCTTTAAGGAAAATTATTTTAAATGAGGAAATGAGTTTAGCTGTTTGGATTAGGTTATTAATGATAATTTTATATTTTTCAGAGTATTCACTGTTGTAGTTTAGAAGGCAGGAGTTGGAACGAGCAGACTTTTTTTATACAGAGATATAGTAAAATTATCAGTGAGAATATCTAGAAATTCAATCAATATATCTGACAGAAATGGTGGGTTTATTTATTTTATTAAATATTTTGTTTGCTAAGTTGGCCATATAAAAGTTTGAAAATAAAGGGCTGAGAGGGCTGCCCATAGCAACACCGTCAGTTTGGGTATAAATATTATAAAGGTGATTATGGAGAGGGACTTGTGATGTGGACCAGTGACATGCAGAGGTTTTGTGATGTATGAGACCAATTCCTTGATTGTATGTCCTTAAAACTTAACTAAATCTAATTGTGTTGAGAAAAAAAAGCTTTAAGGAAAACATTTTAAATATGTAAAACCAAATGAAACATGAAAGAAACAATTTATTCAAATTAAATTAAAACCAAATTTTTGTTTCACTTTTTGATTGGAATGTCTCCCCATATGGATGTCCAAGGCCGCTGCACCCTCTGTCCCACCTTCTGCATGCTACTGATGCTAAGTTTTTTTTTTTTTTTTTTTAATATTGTGATTAATTTGCTGTATTCTTAAGCCATTATTTTCAAAGGCTTTAAAACTGCTTAAAAAGGGAAAATTTAATGTGATTTTTTTTGTTTTTTGTTAATTTGTCTTCCTGGTACAGGTAGGATTGGATTCAAGAAGATATAGACTAATCATTAATTTTAGAATTCATACAAGGTCATGATTCAATTTTTCAATGTAATACCAGTTTCTCAAAAAATTTCTTCTAATTTAGAAAATCCATAAGAAAAAAAAAATCACCAAATTCCATAAACCAATACCAAAACCAAGAATTTCATACAGTATAGAAATTGTTTAATTTATTCTTAAACATAGGGTTTTGGTTTTGCACCATCAAAAGAAGAAAGAGAAATTACCTTTTTCTAAATTTCTTTGTTGCCTCTGTAATGTTCTTTTCAAATAGAATTCTGGATCATCTACTTCCTGGATACGATACGATAAGTTTCGGAGTATACAGACACAATTCTCAACTGGCTTATTATCAATATCACTTTGTCCAATGGCCGTTTTTACTGCGTGGATCAAAGATTCTACCAAACCATCACATTCTCTTAATCGTTTCCTTGCTTGATAACCTGCTGAGCTAATATTCCTGAAAGTAAATTGAAGAATAAAAGAAGACAATAAATAAAAGCAATCATCAAAAGGTATTCAAAGATTAATTAATTCTTTACTGGATAGTTTGGTTTGTTTTACGGCATATCAACCTCAATAGGTTATTTAATGCTGACAAAATTTTTATTGCTGGTAATATGTTTTTCTTCAAAAATCTATTTCTGAGAATATTTTTCCTTGAAGAAATCTATAGCTGGTAATATTTAATATTCTTTTCAAAGAACGTATAGCTGTTTGTATTGCTAGTACTTTTTTTAAAGTATTGCTGATAATAATTTTTCCTTCAAAAATTATTGCTGGTTATAATTTTTTATTACAAAGTATTTCTGGTATTAAAACCTATTTTTTACACAAGTTTGGGTTTTAAACTTTTTTTTGCCCATTTGGATTAAATAAAACAACAAGATTTTTTTTTTGGTAATTTTTTTTCTTCAAAAATGTATAGCTAGTAATAATTTTTTTACAGTGTATTTCTTCAGTATTAAAACCTATTTTTTACTTTCATTCAAAAGCCTACCTCAGTTCGGGGTTAACTATAATTGTAAAAGTCGTTTCACAATGGAGGCAAAATTTCACTAAGTTTAATCCTAAAATAGGTTTTTTATTTAAAACATTAAGAACTTGATATAAAAGGTAAATTTTTAATCTAGTGGTGGTCACTGATTTTTAGTATTAAACTAACAACTGTCCGACATCGATGGACTGAATTTCACTGAGCGATTTAAGAACTGATAATTTCCTTGATAGGTGGGATTTCTAACAATAGAATAGGTGTGTTCCACTATAACAACTATTTAACACATAGCTGGGACCCTAACAAGTGCTACCACACTTGGTCAGGGCGGACCTGGGAACATAAGCAATTAAGAGGTGGTTCCATGCTTCTCAAAACCTCCAGATCAGAGGCATTGCTGTTGGACGTAGTTTATTGTCTTACTCAGGACACAGATGAAATTTATCATCATATCCAGGATGGTTCTTCACTGGATGAAAACAGTAAACATGGTTCAAGTACACACACATAAGGTTTGATCAAAAGGTATCAGTACTGTTGCTATGGTAACAGAGTTACACAGATTAACCTTGAACTAAGTTATAATGTTCTCACTCACTTCCTTTTTTCATAGCAGTGCTTGGAAGGAAGGTGTATTGAGTGTGGTTTGTCTCACCTCACCACAAAGGTAAACTATGGAGGATGCTAAGTGATATAATTTAATATTTAATAAACAAAAGTGAGGAAAATTTTGTTGAAATTTTTTTATATTTTAATTAACATTATTTTAGTTTCTCTTAACTTTTTCAGTTAGCCTGGTGTGTGTGTGTGTGTGTGTGTGTGTGTGTGTATGTATGTATATATATATATATGTGCATTTCTTAAAATAAAAAAAATTTTTTTGGAAAACTAACAACATTTTTACTTCTATATAAATAAATGCAAATGTCTGTTTCACACTTTTCAACTTTACTCCTAGAGGCTGTAGCCAAATATATAACATTCTGGAATCAGGCTGACTTCATGAGAAAATTAAGAACATTCCAGGCTGGATTTGAACCTACAGTCCTGAATTTTTGGATTCCCAGGTTTTCATTATTGCAATTATTTTTGGATTCCGCCATCTTACTGATAAAACCAATTAAAGGGAGATAACTCTCTAACATTCAATAGCTGATGTTCAAATGAAAAAATTACTGTTCTCATATTACTGTTTCAAAATAAAATTGTCCATGTTTTCAACTTTACTTTTAGAGGTCGTAGCCCAACATATCATACCATTTTGGAATTTGATTGATTCCGTGAGCAAAATAAAAACATTTCAGACTGGATCCAGACTTGCAATCCTGAAATTTTGGATTCCCAAGTTTTCATTACCGCATTATTTTTGGTGATTTTTTATGTGATTTTTTGCAACAAATTTTTTTGTACAATAATAATGTTTGTAACTTGGAAATAAATTTGGGAATAATTAAGATTCATTGCAAAAGCCATGCATGCAATAAAAATAATTGTTTATAAGTAAGGACCTACATACATCAAATTTTCTTTAAATTAAGTGATAGCAGAAGAATTATCATTGAGATTTTAAAAGTTAAGCTTAAATATTAATGCTATATTTAAATGCAGTGATCAATTTTGAGTTCTTCTGTAGTTTATTGTTGTCTGTTGCATATGGAAACAGTATGCCTCACCAAAAGAAATCTCCACCACCAGAGGACTAGATTGCAACCAAAAGAAATAAGGCTGCATCGAAGAAAAAGGAAGGGTGCTACTATAGTATGATATCTACAGAGACATTTGCGAGCTACCGTAAATGACGATGCACTCTACCAAATGACCCACTTAATTTCTCAAAATATAGAGTATTATTTTAACCTAAAGAGTGGTGTATTTATCTAGTTTGTATTCATAAAGGAGGTATTTATGTAATTCTATTACAAAATAATTCAAGCCCATTTAGTTGATCACACGAGCACCATGCTGACAATGACACTTACAAAATAAATTTTACACTACAAACTGATTATTATGCACCTTTAATAGTTCTTCACATATTTCATACTTCAACAGTTATTAAATATCATACCAAAGTAGAAGAATGAAGGGTAGATATCATACTATAGTTTGGTTTGTTTTACAGCATATCAACCTCAATGGGTTATTTAATGCCAACAAAATTTTTATTGCTGGTAATATTTTTTTTTGTCAAAAATCTATTTCTGCTAATATTTTTCCTTCAAAAATGTACTGCTGATAATATTTTTTCAAAAATATATTGCTAGTAATATTTATTTTTTAAAAACATTGTTGGTAATATTTTTTTTTTACAAAGTATTTCTGGTATTAAAACCTATTTTTAGACTTTCATAATGTTTTTACTCCAGTTTCAGGGTTAACTATTTGCCCATAGTTGGGACCCTAACAGGTGCTACCACCTCAACGTCGCCTAAAGAGACACATTTATGGTGTCAAAACAGAATTGTAGTTGTATAGTGATTTTTAACATGTTTTAATATCCTAAAATAAATAATATTTTGCTCTACAATGGATTTATCCCACTTTTAAATTAAATGTTATGTACAGTATATATATATCCATATATATCATATATATATATATATATATTTTTTGAACAATAAAAAAAATTAAAAATTAAAATCTTCAGACACAATGGGTTGTAGATTAATGTTCTTTCGTTTTTTTTATTATTATTTCATTTAGATTCCTTGACTAGTTTCGACTAACATGGCCATCATCGGGAGGAGAAATATTTCTGCTGGCTGGTAGCACTAAACTACAGCAATGAATGTCTTGCTGGAGAAAATGAACTTTTGTCTGTAGTTTTCATTTGTTTTTTTTTTTTTTTTTATCTTTTTAACATGAATCTTTTAACATTCCTTGTGTTGGTCAAACAGTCTCTTTTAAGTTGTTATTTGAGATAAGAGCTGGATGGATCTATGCTTCTCTGAATTCCCTTGGTCATTTTGACAGTTTTATTGGTCCTGAGGGGATGTGTCTATTTAGTGTTTGTGTGTGTGTGTTATTTGGTTCTTTCTTAGGGAGTGAGTGAGTATGATGTGTGTAAGTGTATATATTCGTGTGGGTGTGTATATAATTTGGCCATCAATACCTCCTATGATGTGTGTATGTCTGTCTTGTGTGGGTGAGAAATATGGGTAGGTTTTGATTTGTTGAGTTATATATATATATATATATATATATATATATATATATATATATATATAATTTATGGTTTAGCCCGGCTGGATATTGTTTTTTTTTAGAGGTTGTATCCACTTATTTTCATGGGACTAAAATCTTTCTAATGTTATCTGCTCTGAACTTTTTCTATTCTATATATATATATATATATATATATATATATATATACAATTTTCTTTTTATCATTACATAAGGCCAATATGCAAAACCCATAGTAGATCTATGGTGGGAATGGATGCTATAATGAGATAACTGAACTAACATGATGTAGGTGGTTTTCAGCATAGATTGGAAAATGAAAACATTGTGATATATCAATCTTGTGCTAATTTTGGCAATCCTTTTCTTTTATTTCATTTTTAGTTATCATGTAAAAAGCAGAAAAACACAAGGAAATATATAGCAATAAAATTATGATACAAAAGACATCTATAATATTTTAAATGCACTGTTTGAAACCCTCATCGTATTTATGTGGTAACAATGCCCCACAATACTAATGGCGGGTTAATACAGGAAATGATCACAAAGAAACAAAATGGCTGTCCCCATGTCTACTTGAAGTCATATGAAAGGTACCTGCGATAAATAATGATGTAAATAAGGTAAAATGGTCATCTGATGAGGTAGAAATCATTGTGTAAAACACTTGTCTAACAGGGGAAGAAATTATGTGAAATGGTTGGCTGATGGAGAGAAGAAAGTAAATGCTTTCTCTGTCTGCAGCAGACAGTGCAACTCAGAAGAGTGAAGAATTTCCAGTCATTGTGCATTTTCATAGGCAGATGCATCCCCATTAATAGCCAAGTCTTGCTGGAAGATGGGTGATGAGTGATTTTATGAAGTCACCATTTCTAGAATGGTCGCTAACCAAGGCTATCGAATTCAGTCTATCCTGCTATTTAACCCATAACTAGGGAGGAAAAGAGATAGATTCATACTTTTCCCAAGACCATTTGTTTGCAAGTGAATATAACAAACTCAACTATGTAAAATGGCCGGCCAACAAGGAGAAATCATTATGAAAAATGGGTGGCTGACAGGAAGAAATCATTATGTAAAATGGTCGGCCAATGGGGAGAAATCATTATGTAAAATGGTCGGCCAATGGGGAGAAATCATTATGTAAAATGGTCGGCCAATGGGGAGAAATCATTATGTAAAATGGTCGGCCAATGGGGAGAAATCATTATGTAAAATGGTTTAAAATACTTAGAAATCATTATATAAAATGGTAAATGGGGAGAAAAATTATGTAAAAATGGTTTTACCAATGGGGAGAAATCATTATATATAAAATGGTCGGCCAATGGGAGAAAATTTTCAAATGTAAAATGGTCGGCCAATGGGGAGAAATCATTATGTAAAATGGTCGGCCAATGGGGAGAAATCATTATGTAAAATTCCTCTGCCAATGGGGAGAAATCATTATGTAAAATTCCTCTGCCAATGGGGAGAAATCATTACGTAAAATGGCTGGCTGACATGGAGAAATCATTATGTAAAAGTATTTTCTGATAAAGAGAAAATTGCAGTAATTTATAAACAAAAAGATTAAAATAAAAAAAAAAAAAAAAAAAAAAGTGTAATCAAGGTCAGTTTTAATTTTATCATTTATTTTTCATTTAAAAGCTGAATAAAAATTATATACTCACCTGAGAACTCCACTAGCATTTCTAAAAACTGTTGTCCACTGTTCCCCTGGGGGTGCCTGAGGCTGGGCAGTTCCTTGCCGACCCCATCCAGAATGAGGGATCATTACAACCATCACTAACACTGTTAGACAATCATCGATGATGGCTTTCTTTAATTCCTTCAAAAGAAAATGGCTGATTTGTTTAAACTGGAATAATTTATCGACCCAGCACCCAACAAGCAGAAGGTCAATTTTCTTTTGTTTGACTTAATTTCACATTTATTTATTTGAAGAGCATCCACTGTGGAGTCTATTAAGAAAAGAAAATCTCCTTTTATACGAGATTTCACATATATGGGTTAAAGAGAAGTTATTTAAATTTGTCTTTTGATATGCCTTTAGGTAAATCCACACTTTTTCACTTGCTGTTTGACCTCTACCCCCTCACACACAGCCATAGGCTTTTGGAGGGTAATGGAATGTGAACTGATAGATAATTCCACTTCTTAATACCAAAAGGTCACTTTTTTCATTTTAAGGTGACAACACAAGTTAAACTATGACATAATCTAAAGTAGTTAAAATTAATTAAAAATAATTAATTAAAGTAGTTAAAGTTAATTAAGAGAAAAAATAAATCTCTAATGTCTCAGCCTAAACTAAATTTTATTTATTTTTCCTCAATAGGAGTAGATAGGTTTGCCTAATGTCTGGTTCAAACTCCTCCCTGGTCTCTTTTGAACAAGAGTAGCGGTTTATCCAGTTTTTTGTGTTTGCATACATTTCTATATAGGTTTTCAAAATTGTTTTTTACCGACAAGTTCCCATTACATACAACTTCTCTTTATATATAAATATATATATATATATATATATATATATATATATATATATATATATATATATTATAAATTAATTGATTTAAAATACGGTTTTTTTGCTACACAGTTCTAACCATGTTTCAAAAATGGAAGCTAAAAGCCACGAATTTAATTTTGTGATTAAATTAAAGACATTAGTTCCATATATATATATATATATATATATACACACACATTTGTATATAGGTTCCAAATTGACAATGCTCAGTATTGTTTATCAAGCATTTAGAGATATAAACAATGTGTTTCCTTAAGTCTTTTCATTGTCTTACTTTCAGTAGCCACTTGTATCTTAATTGCTTCGGGTGAATTGGTTAAAAAAAAAAAAAAAAGACATTGAAAAATATTCAGCTCAATTATGAAATTGTATTTATGTTATTTGTCTTTTAGAGGAAGATTGAAACAAAAAACTTTCACATTTCTAATTAAAATACTAAAGGATTTAGGTTTAGAAATCTTGGTTTGCAGTGAAGAGTCCAAATTCTAAAGACGAGCTCAGATTTTGCATTTAACCCATTTAGACTTTCTTTTGTGAGATTTTCAGCACAAAAAATGGATTCAGCCCCCCCCCCCTTTTTTTAAAGTAAAGGAATAGAGGGTCTAAATTTTTAGTGCCTGATAAATACAAGGAAAGTTCTGTCAAAAAATGATATTTGGGGCTTGGCATACTGGTGCCAAAAGCGTGTGACACCCTATTTAACGTAAGAAAGGTTTGTTTTTGGGGGTGAGGGGATTTTTTTTATTGATTTGTTGTCTATGGCTTATCAACTCTTTACAAGTTATTTAAAGCCAGAAAATATTTTTAGATTATAAGAATTTTTTTGGGAGAAATAATAATCATTCAATGATATTTACTAATTTACCCATAGCTAAGGGGAAAAGAGGTGGATACATACCTAATCAGAATTCGATAAACAAGCGAGAAATTATAATGTGTATATAAAGTGGGGGATCAATTCAGTATTAGAATCAACTTATAAACTGATCCCTCAGTTTGAGGTCACGGTAGTTTCTCTACATTTCTATTCCAGAGAATGTAAATAAATCTAAAAGACATGCCTGTATAGCTAATCAGTATTTCATTGATTGATTCATTTTCTACGGCTTATCAACTCTTTACACATTATTTAAAGCCAGAAAGTATTTTTAGATTATAAGAATATTTTTTGGAGATAATAATGGTTTAGTGAAACAATTCTTACTATAGCTGGGGGAGATGAGGTGGATTTGTACCTTTCCCAAGTCTGTTTGTATGTAAGTGAATATAAAGAAACCAATAGGAATTGGAACTTGGCTCAACATGCTGAAACTTGGCTCTTAAATATTGGCCATTAAAGTCTCACTGTGTGATTTTTTTATGCTATTTGTGATAATGTCGTCATATATTATTGGCAGGGTAGACATGGGATGGGTTATGGCAAGTTGAATATTGAGAACTGATATTTATGGGGTAAGATTGAATGGGTTGAATGTTAAAGGGTTAAACCTGGCTGTCATTCATGACATTCAACAGGATTCCAATAACTTTACAAACAAAAAAGAGGCAGACAAAGCAACTCTTTGCAATCATCACAAGGTAAATTATTAAACAGGTGCAAGTTTTGATTTAGCTCCAAACAATCATAACTTTATATATACTTGGAGTTAGGAGAAAAAAAGTTAGACCAGTTCTGAAGATTGCCTACTTTTAGATGAGGTACAGCACATATCATTTAGAAAATGTTCCAAAAATTCCAAATACCCACTTGCGAGTTCACTGTGTGTATGTACACCAAACTGGGTTGAATTCAGAATATTCCTTTAGTAGTACTGATTGCCATCCAAGGCTAGAGGACCTATTCTACTCTACTATTTATTGTAAATCTGCCACTGAAGATTCCAATGACTTTCCAAACAAAAAAAAAGCAACTCTCCACAACTGATCATCACAAAGTAAATGATTAAACAGGTGCAAGTTTTGATCATAACTTAACAAACACTTAGAGTTAGGAGAAAAAGTTAGACCAGTTCTAAGACTGTCTACTTTTAGATGAGGTACAGCACATATCATTTAGAAAATGTTCCAAAAATTCCAAATACCCACTTGCAAGTTTACTGTGTACATGTACATTGGGTTGAATTTCAAAAAAGGCAGAAAAAAGCAACTCTTCATAACTGATCATCACATGGTAAATGATTAAACAAGTGCAAGTTTTGATCAGCTTCAAGAAATCATAACTTGACAAATACTTAAAGTAAGACAAGTTCTAAATTTATCAGTGTGACTACATTCAAACATGACATAGCATATATCTCTTGGGAAATGTTCTAAAAATACCAAATGTCTGTGAGCCCATTGTGACAAATTAAGGTGAAAGAAATTGTCAGGAAATTTTCTATTATTGACCTTTTACATTTTCATTATACAAAATCAGTATGCAACACAATTAAGGAGGTTAGTTCCCATTACACTATATATATATATATATATATATATATATATATATATGATGAAATATAGTTTTAAGGTATGCTATATTTATGGTGCTCAATATCAGGGATAGAGTGTAAATAAATATAAATGTGAACATTGAAGTCAACACCAAGCAGTGACAGTATTTCATGCTTATATGCAATTGTTATAACCTAACAATTGTGCATCAGCATGAAGCAGACTGTCACCATTGTCAATGTTAACTTTATATAGATATATAGGTTTCAAATTTGTTTTGACCAACAAGTTCCCATTAAATTGAACTCTCTCTTTTATATATATATATATATATATATATATATATGTAAAAATAAACAAAAAAAAACAAATCCTAATATAAAATTATGCTGTTTTAATGTTAATATAATGTCAACGTCATAAAACATAATTAACATTAGACTATATTTAATATATGGTCTAATGTTAATTATGTTTTATGAATATGTCCTGAAGATGGTCTACTAGACCGAAACGTCCGACGTTGACATTATATTAACATTAAAACAGCATAATTGCATATTAGGATTTTTGTTTGTTTTTTCCATATATTTTTCTTCATACTGTCGGATCTGTATCCATATATTTGCTTTTACGTTTGTATGTGGATTCTAAGTTGACACAGTGCTCAGTAATGTGTATCAAGCATTTAGGGACATAAACAATATGGACATAAGATTACACCTGGTCCGATTGCCATTTGTGTGATGACACAGCCTGCACATCATTCATTGCACAACTGTAATGACATCGAAGGTCAGTTGTATCTGCATATACACCCAACTCATTATGTTCACAGGTTTGTCTACTTAGCTATGAATGAATTCAACAAAGAATAATGACAAATGCTTTTCAAGACACAGGTTGGAAAATAGTAACTGTCGGTTTCTCCTTGTTTGTTGGTTCCTTCCTGGTTGTTGGTCACCTATTTATTCACTAGTTGCTGGTCACTTACTTTTGCCTTCCTGCCTCTCTCTGCTTATATGAAAACTGACTATGGTCCCACCCCTTATTTGCCCACTTGTGTTCAGGCGACAAAGATGAAGACAATAGTCCGAATAATGTAAATAGTATATATAATATTTCATCTCAGAAATATAGACAGATACTTTCAGCACAATGTTGAGAACTTTAACCCATAAATATAGCATACCTTAAAACTATATTTTTTCATTATATATATATATATATATATATATCCAAAATATTTGTGATGAAACAGATATTTTCTTCAATAACTGTTATAGTGGAACACACCTATTCTATAGTTAATAGACTCTCCCACCTATAATAAGTAGGAGGGTCAGAGGGTCGGTCCGAGTTCAGTCTGAAGTCGGACAACTGGCTGACCGGTTGAACTCTCTGCCTTTGGGTGGGGAGGAACCCCTTAACACAACATTAAATTAATAAAACTCAAGGGTGGAGTTCATTCAACCCCTCCAATAAACCGACCCTGAAACTGTTTATACAGGTTCAAAAGGCATATTTTTGGCATTTTTTATTGGTTTGGAGATCCCACGTTAAACCGGCCTTGTGCCATATGATGCTTTCATTTGGGGGGTGAACAATACCACTCAGTGGGTTGGTCAGTCAGTCGATGCTGGACGACCGTTAGTCGGATACTAAAGTATCAGCGACCACAACTAGATTTCTCTGTGTCATACCTATTATATGAAGTTCCTAACGTTTTGTATAACGAACCTATTTTAGGACCAATAATGTTAGTATTTTTAAATACAAGCCTCCATGGTGAAATCACTTGTAAAATAATTTTAAAAAAAAAAAAAAAAAAAAAAATAATATATTTTGAAGGGAAAATTAATCTTTTAAATATAAAAGTATGAAAATTTTCGCAAATATAAACAAATAAAAGCGAAAAAATAAAACAAGATTAAAAAACAAAATCAGACAAGTTTTAATAATTCTTACTTCACAGGAAGATAAATTCCATAATACACCCGTGACCATTTCTTTGACCTCTTCATCTTGAGATTTTTTGGAGAAAAATCAATTTTTTGCTTCAAGATGCCTTTTTTATTTTTTTGGCTTTCTTCCATAAAGAAAAAGAAAAAAAAAGATTGAGAAAATTCTTTAAAATTCAATTAAATAATTTTTGTATGGTGGGGAAAAATTAAGCTTAAATACAAATAGATAAATGTTTTAATTGCAACAGTTCTTGGGTTGGCATTCCACATTGAGATTCATTTATCTCTTACGTCTGAAGGTTTCTAGTGATACGATAATAGGAACTGTAATAAAGAAAGCAACAGAAATGCAATCCAAGAAATACCTGAGAAGAAAAAAGAACCATTAAAAATATTTTATCAGGTATTCAAGGTAAAACAAAGAATGAATGCTATGTAGCTGCACTCATATCAGAATGCAGATTAGGTTTAAGGCTCCATTATTCTCCACTCAGGATTGTCCCACAGGACAATAGCCTAGTAGATAAAAGCATTGGTTCATGAAATTGGTGATATAGTAATGGGACTCAATGGAAATGGGGGCAAGCATAAGCAGGTAGTATTAAAATAAGAACAGGATGTTCCCTAGATAGTGAAATGCAAACAATCTAACACCATAGATAAAATAAGGTGTTCAGTTTGAAATTCCTTGAAGGTTACACTGATGAAGGCAGGAAGGTAAAACAGCTGAAGCACTGTGAACAACAAAAAGGATCAGAAGAGTCCACAGATAAACAATAATTCCTAATCTTTGTTGGCCAGAAATGTTATGCAATTAGACTTAAATTAAGTAATTGGTTGATGTTGCCTAATCAGTAATGTAATGCTTCTCAAGTAGAAATCAATCAGTTTTGAAAAAGGTGCACAACCTTTAATTTTTATGTGATTCTTTGAAATCTAGAGGGCAGTGCCAAACTTTTAGCCAATGCTGTATACACAAAATATTTGTAAAAACATTACTGTTGAGTCACAGCAGTATGTTTCTCTGAGATCAGTCACTTACTAGATTTGTCTGTTTTTATGGCTTATCAACCTTTTGTGGATTATTTAAACCTGAAACATTTTGGTTTGTAAGAATAATTTTCAAGTTAATATTGCATTAACGATTTTTGGGAGATAACAATGATTTTTCTTGATACACGTCCTATTATTTAATCCATAGCTGAGGGAGAAGTGATGATCTCAAATGTATTTTTTGGAGATAATGATATTTTCACATACAAATCCTACTACTTAATGGTAACCTTCTGCAATAATTTTTGAGTCTCCTCTTCATCTTTGATGGCAATAATTCTTTGGATTGTGTTATTAAATAATCCATTGACCCCTCACTAAAATACTACATGTGTCTATGAATAATCTTAATGAGGGTTGTCAAAAGAGTCTTGTGCAGCATCATAATTTACATTGTGACATGCCAGTGATAAGCAAAAGTCCTACCTTGTTATCATCGTTGTTGCGTCCGTAAGATAAATTTTTGAGAGCTCCGCAAGCATTCTTATGAACTTCAGGAATTTCATGATTCAATAATGCCACTAATGGAGGAATGCCTCCCAGTGCCCTGGAAAAGAAAAGAGAAAAGTGACAGTAACCTTGTCCGAAAGAAAGAAAGAAACAAACAAAATTACTGAAAGGTTTCTGCTTTAATAAATGTTTTCCCAAAAGTTTACAGACAAAATATTATACAAAGATGTTTATTATCAGCATGGATAATGTCATCAAACTCAAATTGTCTCAAAGACTTTATAAGCTACAAGAAAAACAAAAGAAAAAATATGAAAACAAAAAAAAAAAAAAAATTATGCGAAACAAAACAAAAAACAAGTTACTTTTCAACACAAGTTACAAAAAACAACAAAAACGTTATTTAAAAAACCAAAAAATTCTGTAAAAAAAACAAAATGTTTTAGCAAACCAAAAATATTAATTAGCAAAAACAAAACCAAAAACTTAACAACAAATTTAGTCCCCCCAAAAAAACAAATATGCAAAAATCATAACAAAATAAGTTATGTGAAAAAAACTAACTAAATAAGAAGATAATATCACTAGAATGTAAAACCGATTCATGCCTTTTAATGGTGTTGTTGAGACTTTGAAACTGTTTATTTTAATTGATACCTGTTTATTTCATTTTAATTATTTTTCTGAAATTTTTTTAACTCATTTTTAAAAAATTTTTTCAATAATAAAGGAATTTTTTTTTTTTTTAAAAACATGAATAAACATCAGAGGATAAATTAAAAATTTATGAAGAAGAACTGGATATACATCTTTATTACTTCATATTAATCTGAAAATTCATTATGTTATTCAGCTTAGAGATTTATAAATCTACCATTTGTCCAAGCATTGAATATGACCTGGTGCTCCTTTTATATATCTCAAGATTCATGATAAAATCCAAAGAAGGGTTTGTAATGTTATTGGTCTTCACCTGGCATCTCAACTTCAGTCACTCTCCCACTACCATGACATGGCTTCCATTTGTCTTTTCTAGAAATATTTTCATGGCAATTGTTCTAATGTGGTCTATTTAAATACCTGAAATTACATTAATTTATAAATAAAACCACTATTATTAGTATATTAAAACTCATTTTTTTATTGTTGAAATGGTAATATTTAGCTGTAAATTTCTATTCTAATTCATGTTCTTTTTTGCATGTACAATTAGCGTTTTTTGACAAATGCCAAAAAAAAAAAGAAAAAAATTAAATGCAAAAAAATCAAATATTAGAGTTTTTTTTTTTTCTTTTATTGTCCTTTATTTTAAAAAAAATCTCATTTCTTTTCTGTCTATATTTCTTTCTTGTTCTTAGTAAACTTTTATTGTTTGCATGGTGTGAAATTTTAAAAAAAAATTTAAAATTACAAATTTGTTACAAAAAAATTTTTATTTTTCATTAATAATTTTTGCCACTATTATATATTTCATTTTTTTTTTTACCTGATAGAGAACTGTAATTAAGTTCATTATTGTTTTTTTTCTTTAGTGTTCTTATAATGGATTATCCTGGGTATGACAATAAACTATGTCCAACAGGAAGATCTCTGATCAGGAGGTTTTTAAACAGCATGGAAACAAAAAAACAATTGCTGGTGTTCCCAGGTCCAAAAAAATGTGGGGGCATGGAAACTGCATCTATTTAGGGTCCCAGGTATGGGGAAAATCTAGTTAACACCCAAACTTGTGTAAAAATAAATTTTTTATACCAAAAAATATTTGTAAATAAAAAATTATTACCAGCAATAATTTTTGAAGGAAAATAAAAAAAAAAAAAAAAAAATAGCAATACATTTTTTGAAAAAAAAATATATGACCAGCTATAGATTTCTTCAAGGAAAAATATTCCCAGAAATAGATTTTTTAAAAAAAAAATTACAAGCAATAAAAAAAATAAATTTGTATTTAATAACCCATTGAAGTTGATATGCTTTTAAACAAAATAAACCAAACCAAACTTATAATCTTCAATTTACAAAATAAAAAAAATAATATTATTTGTAATTTTTGAAAAATAAATCAATAAAATTAATTGAAACAAAATTTGTTATGTTATCTTTAATAAATTTATTCTGTGGGTTAGTTTAAATAAAATAAATCATATTTTAACTTAGTATAAAAAATTTAAAAATAAATAAAAATCCATGGTCAAATAATGAAACCTCCTGAGAAAAAATGGAGCTGAACAAAAAGTCAGGTTACTGAATATAAAAAAAAAATCCAGGGAAAAATCAAATTTATAAATTAAATAAAAAATAAAAAAGTTTCATGCAAATAAAACAAAGGTGCTCACCAAACTAAAAAAAAACTGTTTGACAAATTGCATGAGTAAGACAAATGCAATAAAAATTTCTTTATTTTAATTAAAAACACCCCAGAAAAAAACAAATTTTTATTTCTCAACTTTTCTCATTTTTCCATTCTTTGATCCTCAAAATTAATGTTTTTAAATCACAAACTAATAAATCAATCCCATGAGAAAAATAAAATATATCCCAAAATAAATATGGATCTTAGGAATATTCCATAATATAGGTTTTACTTAATTAGCTAACGATGTTTTTAACTCTTTGATATTGAATGTATAACTAATTCTTCTTTCTATTTTTTCCCATCTTTACACTATATTAATTTTATCTTATAAATTGTCCCCTGTTTTCTGTCAACCATTTAATAAAAAAAAATTGTATAGAAAATAAGGATCTTTACATCAAATCATCTTTAAATTAAAAAGCAGCAGAAGAATTATTTTGAACTTTTAAAAAAAAAAAAAAATTTAATTTAATTCAACAATCATTTTTGAGTTCTTCTGAAGTTTATTGATTGATACCTATCATAAAAACTCCTCCTCTTGAATATTGTGATGAAGGCCAAAAGGCAAAAAAACCATGATTTTATAATAAAATATAATTGCAATTTTATTTTTTAAAAAAAAAAATAAGTTATCCCCTTGAACCATGAAAGTAATGATAATGGCTAGTATAATATATTTTTTACCTTTAAATAATCTTTCAAAAAAAATCTGAGCTCAACAAAAATCATTCCCTGTTTTTAACTTTTCTAGGGCTTTTGAATGAGCTATGAATCACTGAAATCAGACCAGTGGGAATGGAAAAAAAAAACCCAAATTAAAAAAAAAAACATACACTGTACTTTAAAATATAAGATCAATTGATCTTCCATTTTTTTTAACAAAAATTATTGATTTCCATTTTTGTATAAATTTTTGTGATTGAACAAATAATATGTATCATTCATTCCATGATTAAAAAGATAAAGATGTTTTCCTTTCAAAGAATGTACTTGCAAAAAGAAACCAAAATAATTGGGCACCTCTCCAATTACACACTTCAAGATCTGCGTATTGGTTGGATACCTGCCCTGTAATTTTTATAAACAAATTTTTAACATTTCATTTCATGTTAGATAAAAATGAATTTCAAAATTGAATATAACATTTTTTCCCAACTGGATACAACATTCTTTGGATGCTAAAC